AGCAAACTTTTGCCAGCATTTGGAAACAATAAAAAAATAGGGCCATGGATAAGTTTCTCTTGGTTCTGAGTTCAACCGTTTTTTCATTAAGCTCCTGATCTCATTGGCTTTTCAATACAGGGTAGATCAGCTTGATTTGGCTGACAGTTTTGCCAGAGCCCAAGCCCCTAGTCATCATTTCACACCACTATTTTCATATATTGTGAAAACTCCCAATTATTGATTCCATCCCAAGATCCACATAGGTATTAGTGGCTGTTTGCAGTTTCCCATTTATATGGAGCACCCAGTTCAAAATCCCCATTTGTTGAGAGCTGCTCGTTGAATCCTTTCTCCACTCCAAAGTTCAATGATGGCAATTGCTGCTGATGTGCCCAGGGTCTACTCCTGGCCAAGACTCAGTAACATATCTTGGTTACTGGAGATATATTAAGGTGCACATGCTTGTTTGTATTGTTTTGTGTAAAGGTCAGATACTAATGGGAATATCACAAATCAAAAAAGCCACAAAAATTGATGGGTATGGGTTAAGCATTTAAGAGCTGTTAGAGATCTTGCCATCTAACTTGTATCTTAGGATAAATTGGCCATAAAACAGATTAGCTTGACACCAGATCACACACCAATCTCAAAAAAAATTTTCATGAATCTAGGTACACTGTAAAACACCACACAATCCCCACCCAATGGCACATCTCTTTTAGGTATTTATATAGCTCAGAGAATCCCAAGGCTTAGATAAAGCAATGAGATCCTCAAGTTTCAAAAATGGAATGTTCCACCTTTAGGCATACTTGTTTATTTTTTTTTTGTTTAAGAACTGTGGATGTACACTTGAAAGCAACAGTTCCCAAACCAGCAAACAGAATAGAATTACTATTTTTTTTTTCTTTTTTTATTTATTTTTTATCCTGACCCGAGGACATTTTTCCATTTTTGTTCAGGTAGAGTGGGAGGGAGAGAGAGGAACAGAGAGAGAGAGAAACATCGATGTGAAAGGAACACATCGAGTGTCTGCCACCCACACGACCAACCAGGGCCAGGGACAAACTGCCACCGAGGTATGCGCCCTTAGCGGGAACCGAACCCGGGTCTCTCCAGACCACAGGCAGACCCTCTAACCGCTGAGCCTAACCGGCCAGGGCCATACATTTCTTTTTTTATTATTATTGCACATGGTCCCTTATTCTCTACAGCAAAAATAACTCCTTTCTACAGACCCAGAGCTTCGGTCTGTAGAGACCTATCTGTAGACATGGGCATGACAATAAATAGCAATCCTGGGACAATGGTCTACCACCTAGGTAGGTCCAACTGATCAACCAACTACTCAGGACCAACTGGTCTAACAACTAGGTAGGACCAATTGGTCTACCAACTACTCAGGACCAACTGGTCTACCACGTACGTAGGTCCAACTGGTCTACCAACTAGGTAGGACTAACTGGTCTACCAACTACTCAGGACCAACTGGTCTACCACCTACGTAGGACCAACTAGTCTACCAACTACTCAGGTCCAACGGGTCTACGAACTAGGTAAGTCCAACTGGTCTACCACCTACGTAGGACCAACTAGTCTACCAACTACTCAGGTCCAACGGGTCTACGAACTAGGTAGGTCCAACTGGTCTACCACCTACGTAGGACCAACTAGTCTACCAACTACTCAGGTCCAACTGGTCTACCAACTAGGTAGGTCCAACTGGTCTACCACCTACGTAGGACCAACTAGCCTACCAAGTACTCAGGTCCAACTGGTCTACCAACTAGGTAGGTCCAACTGGTCTACCAACTACTCAGGACCAACTGGTCTACCACCTACGTAGGACCAACTGGTCTACCAACTACTCAGGACCAACTGGTCTAACACCTACGTAGGTCCAACTGGTCTACCAACTAGGTAGGACCAACTGGTCTACCAACTACTCAGGACCAACTGGTATACCATGTACGTAGATCCAACTGGTCTACCAAGTAGGTAGGAACAACTGGTCTACCAACTACTCAGGACCAACCGGTATACCATGTACGTAGGTCCAAATGGTCTACCAACTAGGTAGGACCAACAGGTCTACCAACTGCTCAGGACCAACTGGTCTACCAACTACTCAGGACCAACTGGTCTACCACCTACACAGGACCAACTGGTCTACCAACTACGCAGGACCAACTGGTCTACCACCTACTCAGGACCAACTGGTCAGGACGAACTGGTATACCATGTATGTAGGTCCAACTGGTCTACCAACTAGGTAGGTCCAACTGGTCTACCACCTACGTAGGACCAACTAGTCTACCAACTACTCAGGTCCAACTGGTCTACCAACTAGGTAGGTCCAACTGGTCTACCACCTACGTAGGACCAACTGGTCTACCAACTACTCAGGACCAACTGGTCTACCACCTACGTAGGTCCAACTGGTCTACCACCTACGTAGGACCAACTGGTCTACCAACTACTCAGGACCAACTGGTCTAACACCTACGTAGGTCCAACTGGTCTACCAACTAGGTAGGACCAACTGGTCTACCAACTACTCAGGACCAACTGGTATACCATGTACGTAGGTCCAACTGGTATACCAACTAGGTAGGACCAACTGGTCTACCACCTACTCAGGACCAAATGGTCAGGACGAACTGGTATACCATGTACGTAGGTCCAACTGGTCTACCAACTAGGTAGGTCCAACTGGTCTACCACCTACGTAGGACCAACTAGTCTACCAACTACTCAGGTCCAACTGGTCTACCACCTACGTAGGTCCAACTGGTCTACCACCTACGTAGGACCAACTGGTCTACCAACTACTCAGGACCAACTGGTCTAACACCTACGTAGGTCCAACTGGTATACCAACTAGGTAGGACCAACTGGTCTACCAACTACTCAGGACCAACTGGTCTACCATGTACGTAGGTCCAACTGGTCTACCAACTAGGTAGGACCAACTGGTCTACCACCTACGTAGGTCCAACTGGTCTACCAGCTGCTCAGGACCAACTGGTCTACCAACTAGGTAGGACTAACTGGTCTACCAACTAGGTAGGTCCAACTGGTCTACCACCTACGTAGGACCAACTGGTCTACCATCTGCTCAGGATCAACTGGTCTACCACCTACGTAGGTCCAACTGGTCTACCAACTGCTCAGGACCAACTGGTCTACCCCCTACGTAGGACCAACTGGTCTACCACCTATGTAGGTCCAACTGGTCTACCAACTGCTCAGGACCAACTGGTCTACCAACTAGGTAGGACTAACTGGTCTACCAACTAGGTAGGTCCAACTGGTCTACCACCTACGTAGGACCAACTGGTCTACCACCTACACTGGACCAACTGGTCTACCACCTACACAGGACGAACTGGTCTACCAACTACTCAGGACCAACTGGTCTACCAAGTACGCAGGAACAACTGGTCTACCCCCTACACAGGACCAACTGGTCTACCACCTATGTAGGTCCAACTGGTCTACCAACTAGGTAGGACCAACTGGTCTACCAACTGCTCAGGAACAACTGGTCTACCCCCTACGTAGGACCAACTGGTCTACCACCTATGTAGGTCCAACTGGTCTACCAACTAGGTAGGACCAACTGGTCTACCAACTGCTCAGGACCAACTGGTCTACCACCTACGTAGGTCCAACTGGTCTACCAACTACTCAGGTCCAACTGGTCTACCAGCTAGGTAGGTCCAACTGGTCTACCACCTACGTAGGACCAACTGGTCTACCATCTACTCAGGACCAACTGGTCTAACACCTACGTAGGTCCAACTGGTCTACCAACTGCTCAGGACCAACTGGTCTACCACTTATGTAGGTCCAACTGGTCTACCAACTAGGTAGGACTAACTGGTCTACCAACTAGGTAGGTCCAACTGGTCTACCACCTACGTAGGACCAACTGGTCTACCAACTGCTCAGGACCAACTGGTCTACCACCTACGTAGGACCAACTGGTCTACCACCTACTCAGGACCAACTGGTCTACCACCTACTCAGGACCAACTGGTCTACCACCTACTCAGGACCAACTGGTCTACCACCTACTCAGGACCAACTGATTGAATCTGTCTCACACACACACGCACTCACACAAGGCATGTGACTCAGTGTTGCCTGTGGGCTGAGTCTGAGGGCTGAGATACCACTGCCCATCCCAACATGTGGAGGGGAAACTGCTTTTAACGTTCCCCTTGAGTCCTGATTCCCTCCCTGCTGTGATGACATCAGGGCCCTTCTCCTGTCCACACAGAGGGGGAAAACTCCACATGGATGACCCCGGTCTATACCCAGGAACCACTGGCCACTCAACTCTGACCTCTCCTGTCTGTATAGGTTCCGTCTCCATTTGGGGTATTTCACTTCCTTTTTGTGCATTGTGCATGGTCCCATACTTCAGAAATATTTTTTTTACTTGTTTAGTATATATATATGTCAGTCTTACAAAGATATTTGAAATAATGTGAACACCTGTTTCTCCTATACTTGAAGCAAAGAGTACAAAACATGGTTAAGCAAAACACACCAAAAGGAGCGGATCTATTCAAGAATATTATGACAGAAAGCAAACTGTCAAGTATTTGGAAGACAGATTTCCAGCTAGTGTTCTGAAGGCATTCTAGCTAGGTGGAGTACCTATTCTAATAAACATGTGCATCACTCAGAATACTCTGCAGCTCACTTTTGTGTGGCAAAATGACAGCTGGTAAAGGAAGTATGGACAGACCCAAATTCTAGATAAAGTTCTTTGTACAGAAGATCCACAGAAGCAAGTGCTGTCAGAAGTATACCAACCTTCCCCTTCCTCTCCCCTCAACAACCACCACCAAATTCCTTCATAGGACTTCACAGATACCTAAGATCAGATTGAAATATTCTGATCTACATGCTTAATCTGAATCATTTAGGTGGAAAAAAAACAACTTAAGGGTTGAATTGACTTCTGTCTTCAAATCTTGACTGTACCTTTTCTACAATGGCATCAATTAACACCTAAGGATTTTTGAAAAGAAAATTCCATTATTTATTTTCTTTCTTGAGAGCTGTTTTTTCCCTCCTTGTTTGGAAGATTTGCAGTATTTTGCTTCCATCTGAGCCAGAAAAGTTGTCCATTTCCTTTGGCCAATCCTTTTGCCTGCTTTGAATGAGTGCTTTCAAGTTATCTTCTTCAAGCCCCAACTCCTTCCTGCTCAATTCTGCTTCTTTAGCCTCTTCCTGAGCCCTCCTTGTCCTTGCATTCATCTTTTGCTTCGATTCTTTGACAAAGATATTATAGGATGGGACCGCTCCAGCATAAATGGCTTGCTGAATAATGTTCCTTATCCTGGGTTCCTCTGTGTACTGCACACACAGCACACACTCCAGGATCTGATTCATGCCCCCTTTAAAGTTCATATAGGCCTGTTTAGTATCAGCCAGCTCTTTTTCAGAACCTTTGTATGTCTTTTCAAAAGCTTGAATGTCTTCTAGAAATTTTTTTTTTTTTTTTGCAGTTTAAAAGGTCTCACATTTATTACTGAACCAATCTCATCTCTCATGTGTGATTCCTTATAGACCCAGTATGGTTCTCCAATGTCTCCTCTTGGAGATGTACCTGATTTTATTACCAGTTTTCATCCAAATCCATTGGGGAATGGGCCTATTCTGCTTTTGTTTCTTGGCCAGGAACCTCTTGATTCTGAAAGTCTTATGAGAAGACATGGCGAATGAGAATCAACCGCACGCACCACGATGGCGGATTTTGTTTACTAGGCAAAGAACTTTATTAACCTGTTTCAAACTCATCTGCTGTAGCTGTTCTGTGAACCACCTTCTTTTTTCTATGAGCAGTTTCTTTCCCACCAAAGCGCACTTTTGCCTGCAGTTTGGCGAGTTTCTCCTGGTTCATGATCATTTCTTTCATCTTGTTGGAGACTAAACAGGGCCGCGCGGGGGACTAGGGTTGGCGCTTAGGGGGTCTGGGCAGACCAGCTGAGAATAAGCGCACACACGCGGGGACGCAAGATGGCAGCTCTGGAGATACCTTTTTAAAGAGCAACCTCCAATACGTCTCCCAGTCCCGATCTTGGTTGAGCACATCCGAATCCTCGTCCACTGTTCCCTGCTCATCGTACACTGCTCTCTGCTCTTGGTCACTCAGAACGGAATAGACTTCCCCGAGGACCTGGAAGCGGCGGGTGGCATCCTCCTTGTCGTCCTCACCCACGCGGTCCGGGTGCACTTGCAGGGACACCTGGTGGTAGCCGCGTCGCACCTCGCCACCCGAGGCCTTTCGCCGCACACCCAACACCCGGTCAATGTCAGGGGTCCCGAACACTTCCTCGCACTGCTCCAGCAGCCCCATGGCCAGCGAAAGTGTGGAGTTGGCAGCAGCTTCCTCGAAAACAGTGAGACCTGCGGCACTTAAGTTCCGAACTGCTTCCATTTCCCGCGCAAAACGCCCAGGGCGCCGCCGGCATCGAGGCGCCGGAAGGGGCGTCTAGAATTACTATTTTAATTGGCATGCAGAAACCTCCAGAAGGCTTGAAAATTCCAAAACTGCTTCACTGAAAGATTAATTGCAAAAAACTAATGAACAGTGAAAGATACAGAGGTACCTAAAGCAAAAGACTGTAAGACTGATGTGACCCCTACGATTACCCTCTATCTTGCCTTACCTGAGTACTCACAGTCTAGACCATCCCTCTATCTGCATTTCCTTTTCACTCGGAAGAGGCTACAAGACCATAAACAAAGTCTGCCAAGTTAGTAGCCTTACAAATGCAATAGCTCCAAGGCCAGAAACTTAAAACAACACCTGGGTCTCTCCCTTTGCACCTAGGGGTCCATTATCAAAATGCTGACCTACAAATCAGTGTCTCATGTACAATCAACTGGGAAAAATACTGACCTCAAAGGTTTTGCATAAATCATTGGCTAGTAACTCGAACACTCCCATATCTACCCTCAAAGGATGTGGTGCCCTCCCAAGATTGACATGCCCCAGAGAGATTCTCTATTAAAAAAATGTTAGATTGCTGCAACCAATGAAAGTAATATAGCTCCTGATGTCCACACGGAATGAATAAATTGAGAAGAATAATGAATTTAGATAATTAAATGAATGAACTTTGGAGTCCAATTTCAAGAAAATACTGAGTGAAACACAAACACACATGTACACACACACACACACACACACACACATTATCTCTGTAGAGACAAGAACAATGACTTAGTAATAGAAACTATCTTAGATATAGGTAAGTTTGTCACTAACTATAAATGAGAGAACTAATGTCCGAAACGCTCCCTGCCGAATCCCAGCCTTCCCCTTTCCTTTACAGGATGTCAGAGCTGCCCCTAGGTGTGACGGTCTCCCCTGCTTTTCCCTCCATCTTTCACAGAGTTTGCCTGCCCACCAAGAAATATTCTAATTGTATCTCAATGTCTGCTTCCAAAAGACCCAAAGTCATAAGGACTTTAGAGTAACTAACCTATGCACCAAATTTGACATGTTATCAAACTGATTGCCATCTTTTTACTCAAATCATACCTAATCAATTCCCTCTCACCATCATCATCGACAAGTCATTTGTACTATTTTGCTTTTCAGGCTTGTCTGGAGACTGTTTTCTGTTCACAACTTTATCATGGAGTAACCTAAAGAATAGCAAGGAAATTAGGATGGCTATTTGATTGGAAAATGAATACATCCAAGAAATTAGAAACTGATATTTTTCTGTAAGTTAATAATTTAGTATGCATAAACATAAGATTTGTGTAATTAGTCTAGGGCCCTTTATATGAAACATAAAGAAAACATTAAATCATAATTTATAGTTGCAGGACTTAATGCAAATATGAATACTTTTTTTCAGGTTAGTATATATTCCTATGTCACAGAATTGTACAGTATTTTCTATCTTGGTACTAGTTATATAAATCACCTGCATAAGCAACTCTTTTCTCATATGGCAAATTGTGTCACTGTAGAGAAATATTCATGTTTGAGAGTCAAATGATTTGTGTTGTGCAGAGAATGATTGAGGACTGTGAAATAAATTGGTGTTAACACTATGCATCTTTTGCAAGTATTTTAGCTTTCATTGGAAATGCAATTTTACATGAACTGTAGCCATAGTTGTATGAGAAAAAAACTCAACCTGGAATATTATTAAGTATTGAACTGTGAACAGGGTAACAGATAAAAAAAAGTGATAATTTACTTATAAGGCTATAATAATCAAAATATCTAATAGAATTTTAAAATATATTTTCTCATCTGAGTATAGAGCCAAAGAGTCAGAAAAATCCTGCCTCCTTAAAATCAGAACCACAATTAATTTTTATAGGTTTCTTAAATTCTTCTACTAGGAAGTCGATATATCTTCTATATCTACATAATTTTTGTCTTGTTTAATAAAAATCTGAAACAAAAAACTGCAGCATTTTTAGAAATGTTATAATATTATGCTTATATAATATGGTTACCTATGGTTATATAATATTATAACTAATATAATTTTATGTTTCAACTATATCTTAAAAATATGTACCAATTGGTACATATTTGATACATTTGACACATCAAGTTAAATTTGTATATTCCTTTATATAAATATTTGTGTTAGAAAATGTTGATAAGGGCTTTTCTTTTTCTTTTCTGAGTTTAACTATATTTCACATCTTTCAGATCAAAACAAAAATTATATGAAGAGAAATATGAAATTCTTTTAACATGTTTCTCTGCATTATTTAAAAGTTTCCTGGTATAGAGTTTATTAAAATTTATCTCAGTTATAACTGTAGCATGTTGACCTTTTAACTTTATTTCCCTGTGGTCTGTGAAGTACATAACCTTCTGTTTGGTTTTATTACTAATTTCAAGATTTTATTTTCATTTTATTGTTGATAATAACTCAACCTTTCAAAACTTAGATTGCTCACTTAAATTAACTGTACTTTTTGTTTTGAAAATACAGTTTTTATTTAATAAAACATTAATATATTTTCTAACCAAAAATAAATGTCATGTATCAATTATTAGTAGATATTGAAATGTGCACACTGAAATGAAAGTAATTATAGTATAATTTTTTCTAAGTTAAATTTACAGGTTTGGTAAGATTAATGTCTGTGCTTAGTAAAATAAGTAGTCTCAATATTTTATGTTTCTTCAGTTCAAGTATTATCTAGAATCATTGAACTCAGTAGAAGAAACTTAAGGTCAGTCTATTCTTGTCCTAGGAGAAATTTATCCAAATGAATAAACCTCAAAGTAAAAATTGCTTGAACTTTACCTATATACTCTTCAAATACACACAAAGTAAATCACTTTCTACCCATTTCTCACTTTCTTATTCAAGTCCACTGATACCAGTCTGCTTGCTTTTCCTCAGACACTCAAGGCTGGCTTTGGGATTTGTCAACTGGCTCTTCTAGGCACTCGAAATATTTTCCATGACTAACTAACAACTGCTTTAGTTCTTTCAAGCTCTTATCAAAATCTTTCTTTCTTTAAATTTATTTTTCAATTACATTTTACACTCAGTATTATTTTGTATTAGTGTCAGGTGGACAGTATAGTGGTTAGACAATCATATATACTTGACAACCCCACCCCATATTTCTAGTACCCACCTGGCACTACATAGTTACTGTAATATTGTTGCCTATATTTTCTATGCTGTCTTTATATCCCTGTGACTATTTTGTAACTACCAATGTGTACTTAATCCCTTCACATTTTTCACCCAGTCTCCCAATACCCCCTTACCCCCATCTAGCACCATCAGTCTGTTCTCTATATCCATGAGTCTGTTTCAGTTTTATTATTTTTACCAAATGAAGTCATATGGTATTGGTCTTCCTCTGACTGACTGACTGACTTCACTTAGCATAATAACTTCTATGTCTAGCCATGCTGTTGCAAACAATACGGTTTCACTTTCTATTTATAGTTATTGTTAGAGTCCTCCAATTAATAATTATAAACTTCACCCCCAGCAATCATTCCCAAATCTCATTTCCTTGTTCTGATTTTAGTATCCTAAGGTACATCTAACATTCCAACATAAAATGTGACTTAAATTAGTTTCATTTATTATTTTTGAAATAATTTTATTGAGAGAAGAAGAGTGGAAGGGCGGTGAGAGAGATTTGTGGTTCCATTTATGTTCCATTTACTATGCATTCATTGGCTGCTTCTTGTATGTGCCCTGACAGGAGATCCAGACTCCACCACGGTTGCAGTTGTAACCAGCTGAGCTCCCTGGCCGGGGCTGGTTGCATTTGTTGTTAATTTTCTGTTTCGCACAACTAGACTATAACCTCCATGAGGCAGGTATTTTTGTTTCTTTTGACATCTTAAGTGCCTAGATAGTGTCTGGTATAAAAGGCACAATGCATTTTTATTAAATGAGTAAATTTAGTATAAAGGAAACTATGGTTCATTCATATTTTCAATATGTTATCTATTGTGTGTCAAGCACTATGTTATTGCTGGAAAAACAATCAAAGAGATAAACCTGGCTTATCCTCAAGTTGATCATACTAAATGATGGAGCAAGACATTAAGAAAAACTCAAGTGATTGATTGTTATAACTGTAAAAACTTTGAAGAAAAAGTCAGACTCTGTTGACACATAAAAAGATGGGATTGAGCCTTCGCCAGTTTGGCTCAGCGGTTAGAGCGTCGGCCTGCGGTCCAGAAAGACTCGGGTTCGGTTCCCGCTGAGGGCACTTAACCTCGGTTGCAGTTTGTCCCCGGTCCTGGTTGGTCTTGGGAGTGGTAGTCACTCGATGTGTCCCTTTCTCGTCAATGTTTCTCTCTCTCTCTCTCTTTCTCTCCCCCCCACTCTATCTGAACAAAAAATGGAAAAAAATGTCCTCGGGTGAGGATAAAAAAAAAAAAAAGATGGGATTGAGCTGGTGTGGAGGAGGAGAACTGTGTGAAGAGAAAGGAAGGCAATCATAGGAAGTGATGTGTACATTATATAAACACGTTAATCTTGAACATTTCCATATGATATACCCATAACAAAATAAAATTGCTAAGCTACATGAAATTTTTATCAGTAATAATGTGTTCAAAGATGAACAATTTCCATAATACACTTCTGGTTGATCTCTGTATCAAGAACTAAGTCACATTGACCCAATGCTCTGGAAGGAAACTGGATAATTTAATCATTTTGCTGTGCATTGTGCCCATTAAATAAGACCAAAATTCTTAAAAGTGTTAAGGAATAACCACCAAGTATTTTAAGAAGAGCAGAGAGGATAGATTTGCCCTAAATGATAGAAAGACATATTTTGAAGCACTTATAAATGATGTACTTTAGTATTTGTGAAGGGATAAAC